CGCGGCCCAGGCGGAGACGGCGGGGCCCAAGCAGAAGGGAGCCGGCGCTGCCCAGGCCTCGTCGCCCGCCGCCGCCGCCGCCTCGCCCAGGGGGGGCGGCAAGAGGAAGGCGGGCGGCGGCGGCAGCAGCACCCCCGGTGGGGGAGGCAGCGGCGGTAAGGGCAGGGGCAGGGCCGGGGCGGCAGGAGCAGGGGGAGGAGGAGGCGCAGGAGGCAGCTGCAACAGCCAAGGCAGGGCTGCCTCGTCCAGGAGGAGCATCAGCAAAGTGGTGTACGTCGATCATGAGAGCGAGGAGGAGGAGGAGGAGAGCATGGTGTCCGAGGAGGAGGAGGAGGGAGACCCCGAGGATAACCAGGACTCCGAGGAGGAAGAAGAGGAGGAGATAATGGAGGAGGAGGACGACGACGACTCCGACTACCCCGAAGAGATGGAGGATGAAGACGACGCCAGTTATTGCACTGAGAGCAGCTTCAGGAGCCACAGCACCTACAGCAGCACCCCAGGTAGAGAGCCCGTGGGCGAACTCGAACAAGTCGAGGGCACCCCGCATGCTCCCTCTAGGTTGGCAGACACGGTCCGCACTCCCAGGCGAGGATGCGAGGGATGCCCGCAAGCGCTCCCAGGGAGAGGGGCATGCAGACAGCCACTGGCAAGCCCGGGGACGCGGGGAGCATTGGAAGATGCTCACGAACGCGTGCACGGAGAGGAGCGGGGAGGGCACTTGCTGGAACAAGGGGATGCTTTGCAAATATTCATGGGGAACCTGGTGACCGCAGAAATGCGCGACCCGCCAGGACGTGTTGCAAACAATGTCAAAAGTGTTGTGGAGCATTCACTTTAAATTTAAAAACAAGGGAAATGAGAGGCATGCCTTGCAAAGAGGTCTTTTCAGTTAAATACAGGAAAGGCTGGCTTGTGCTTGCAAATACAACTTGATGTTGAAAGGAAAGGAAGCACATGTAGGTTGAAGTGGCTTAAAAAACCAAAAACCTATAAACACCGAGAATTTTCAGGCTCTTGAGGTCAGAGCTATAACTGGATCCAGCATTTACTGGCTTTAAGACAAAAGTAGCTTTCCAAGGAGGGAAATGAGGTGCATTGTTCAAAATGGAGATTGCATTGTTATAGTTTGGGGAAAAGTGCACAGGGCCTCATTGCAAGGATGTAAACCTAGTCTGAGTTCAACACAAAGATTAAAAGGTGGAGGTTGAGTCAGAGGTCTTGCATTTAAATACTGCGTTTATCTTAAGATATGGCAACCTTTAAAATTCATGTTGGGGCTAAAATTCATTAAACATAATTTTTTTTTTCATTCTAGTGGAAAATTTGGGAAATTTTTGAGGCCTGTATTTCTGTTTGTCCTTAATTGGATCATTCACCAAGCTTCAAAAATTCTTTTATTTAAACTTAAGCACTTTGGATTTATTTGAACTCATTCCAGAATGGAATTCAAGCTTAGAATATTTTATTTTTCTTTTCTTTTTTTTTTTTTTTAAATTTCAAGTCTCTGAACCAGGAGAGTAGTTCAGCTCATAAGTGATTTGGGTTACAGGGTGGCAGACTCTGCTGTTGTTCCAGCATTTGGCCGGTTTGGAAGGGGGGAGGAACAGGTTGTTGGTGTGAATGCATTGCATCTTAATTAAAAAAGGAATGTAGTTCCGAGTAGTTAACTGATGACTTTTTAAAAGGGGGAAGTACTGGCTGGTAAAGGTGTAATTTGTTTTTATTTTGGTGAGTTAATGATATCACCTCATTCTGTGACTTCATAATAGTACTTTAAAAAGCTCTGTATGTTTCTCTCTATATATTTTTTAAACTTATATCCATATGCTTTAGAACCTAAATGAATCAAAATAAGTACATACATTACTAAATTTATTTAGAGATAATTTTTAGAAGATGTTAGTTTACCTGTTGCAGGAATGTCCTGCAATCAAATTGAAATTTTTTGAATAAAGATTGAGATCTGGCTTCACAGAAGGAAAGCTCTAAAATACTCTCTTGATTTTTAACTCTCCATTTTCTTCTTAGTTGTGATAACTTTCATTTTTATTACCTTTTTGGGAGAGTTTATGTCAGGGAAATAATATTTTTATGATTTTAACTGGCTAGGTCAGGATAATATTTTTTACATGAGAATCCAGGTTTAAAATGAGTTCTGCAGAGAATGGGTGTATGCCATTTTTCAAATGTGCTAAGTGTTTTGGCAAATCAGAAGATAGCTCTCTGTGCATTGTTGTACAAGCATAGACAGGTTTTATGTGGTATTTAGGTCTATCAGAAACCATTTTGATAATTTATATGTTTATTTCTCACTCGGTCAGGATGCCTTCAGTTAACTTTCTTAAGAGAAGTGTAAGTGTAAGCATTTTTATCCTTAGGTGCTTTTGCTCTATACCAAGATTTCTGAGAGTAAAAAGTTTGTGTTGTGATTTTGGCAGTGTGCTGGTGGTTCTCATTACTCGGTGCTTGCCTGAAGCTCTCCCTCCCTCCTTCCCTCTCTCCCAGGCAGGCTGGTGCCCTTCTGCGAGCAAAGCAGAAAGTTTTCATTCAGGCAGCTCAGTCCTGCCTCATCCTGGACAAACACCTGCTCTGGGAGGGTGGCACTGATGGAAATGTGGCTCCTGGCACAGCCCACAGGAGATCCGAGAGCAGCAGTGCCAGGCAGGGTTTGTTCTCAGGATCTGTG